TCTAAACATAATCCTCTGATCATTCGGACTTGTTTTTTTTATTGCTTAAAACAATACACAAGTAATAACAGAAAACATAATACAAAAACAAACAAAAAATAATAATAAAAACAAAACAAAAATAAAACAGTAGGGGGATAATATAAAATAAACATGAACAAGTTAAGAGAATTACATGACACTGAAAAAAGGAAAATAATTACAAACAGATAATGTTTTTAAGGCTTTTTTTGTTCTCAGACAACTTAATTGAAAAGAGGTATTTTTAAAATTCTTTCACAAATATAAGAAAGAGAGGTTTAGCATTTAGATATTTAGATTTATGAATATGGAATTCGGACTTGTTGTTTCCATAGACAGTAAAAGAAATGGACAGAGCCATCTCATTGGAACTCAGTTGAGACAGTTGAAGCCCATTTTTAGCGATTTCTGAGCACTTCCGTTCCTGACGCGCAGACTCAAACCGACTCAAACTAAGCTTGATGACGTGAGCAACCTGTCTGACAGACGTTAATCTTCTAGTAGCTGTGCCAAGAGGAATCTGAATCATTCCCTTCCGAAACTTGCAGAGCCGGAGATCGTGAGTATTAGCTGTCCATGAGCTAGCAGCAGGAGCAGCTTTACAACTCTCTATGGGCTTCTCCCTTGACTTTATGCCTCGACGTCCCCCCGATTGCGCGCGAGTTTCTACTTCTGTCTATACGGTAATTTCTGTACAGCGCGACAGAGAGTCGAGTGGTTATGACGCAATCGTTAGCCTATTTTTACTAAATCTGTTTCTACGGGGCCATAACGTAACATAGAAGGTAATGGAGCCTTTTATACATTGTCGTGTTTCTTTAGAAATAAATAATGGACAAATGGAGTCTTTAAACGCCTCAGATGTAAAGTTATTCGCTGTCAAAGTGACGCCAAAATGAATGGGAGTCAATGGAAATGCTAACGCAAGTGAAGTTCTGCTACAAGATGGCGGCACCCGGCCGACTTCAACTTCCGGTCGATGGATTACCCCCTTGGGTTGTTTCCAGCCGGTTTCGGCGCATGACATACGTCACGACCACACGTTAGCGATTGGCTATGGCAGATCCTGAGTGACGCTGGGCAGATCCAATAGTTTTGAACTTTAACAGAGAACCCGCCTACAAGGAAGTAAACGTTTCTCAATGGAGCGAGGCCAGACTCTCTGTACAAATGAAATGTACGAGAGTCTGGTAGAACCAGGCTAGGTTTAGGCTACTATGAGTGCTAAATGGGTCCGTGTATCTTTTGGTCATTTGATTTCCTGTTTGGAATGGAATAACGAGAAATGAAATCCAGCTCGTTTATTCGTTTTTTTGTTTAGTTTAAAAAACGAAAAATTAGATTTTGGCTCGATTTTTCATTTTTCGTTTGTGGTTTACAAATCGGTTTATGGGTTCGATATTTCATTTGCACACGTGGGCGGCGCTGAAACGCCCCTTTTAATCTGATTGGTCAAACCGCTCCGCCTTCAGTACAAGCTTTTCTTTCTGTCGGGCAGAATAAGAGTATTAATAAATGCACTTTAATAAAACAATGTCTGAAACCACCACTCACTGTTAACTACGCACAATATTTGAAGCAGAAATGTTGCTGGTAATGGGGGCTCTGCGACCCCAGTAATGTGAGCCACAGTAGACCTATGACAGATTATTTTAGCATTTCCAATTGATAAATACAGTGCAAATAGTTCCGTCTCTTTGGATAAAAGGGAAGTGGAAATAAAAATCAATAATAGGCTGAACTGTAACATGATAATATGTTCATAACATTTACCACTCTCGTCTTTTATTTACATCAAAAGGTGTGTGTGTGACATGCACAGTATATGCCTAAATAATTTTGAAAATTGAATAGAAATAAAGTTTATATTTATAAATGTAAGCATAGGCTATAGCCTACTCGGTTCACATGAAAAGAAAGAGACAGAAAAGAGAGAAGCTAGAATCAGTGAAGTACAGAACGTAGGCTAGGCTACTTTCAAAATTAGCAGGGTTTGGGATTAATTAAAATCATGACAGTTGAAGAGCACGGCATACCTTTAAAATGTTATTAGTTTTATTATAAAACTAATACAATTTTATTACATACTGAATTGGTCGATGTTTCTCTGAGTTCTGTTTATTATGTTGGCTTGAGAAAGCATATACTTAAACGTTATTATTATTATTATTATGAGAAATTGACTCCGCCTAGAACTTTAATGCTTCACAAAACTCAGCTCAGACCTTCAGACTGGTCTGACTCGCTTATATCTTTTTCTAACTGGTCAGACTTACTTTCCCAAAAAAATCCATTGACATACTTAATGCTGTCCACTAGAGGGGGCGACAGGATAATACGTCTTTCTACTCTTTTCCTGTTTGCATCAGTTTAAATGACAAATAAAAGCATGAATTTCATTCATAAATAGGCCATATCTGTGTATGAGAACAAGCTTTACATTTCAAGCTGTAAAACTAATTAAAACTTGAACCCTACTTCAAAGTTTGCCACTCTATAGTTTCTTTTAAGATATTGTTAGTTTTTGCATTTAATATTAGTCCATCTGGAACTTTTATTTGTCATGAGCTCTATATTTTAAGATGTACTAGAAAAAATATGATTCAACAACAAAAACTCTGTTTTAACTCGGCAAATGTGTTTTCCTTTCAAGGCTATAGCCTACAAGTTAGCCTGCTTTTTGCCATGGCTTGCCATACTGCCCAGAATAAACTATATTTTCTCCACACGAGATGTTTAAAAACCCTGCATGTAGTTTTTGTGAAGACGAGCGCATATCTTACAATATCTTACAAAGGTTCTATCTATCTATCTATCTATCTATCTATCTATCTATCTATCTATCTATCTATCTATCTATCTATCTATCTATCTATCTATCTATCTATCTATCTATCTATCTATCTATCTATCTATCTATCTATCTATCTATCTATCGGACTGACTATGAAAAACTTGAATGCAAACATTTATGCACAAATATATCTTAAATAACAGTTTAAAAAAAGGTGGTCTGCTATATTTCACAAAGGAAGCCCATTTGTGTGTTATACGAGAAGGACATAGCCTACTGTAAAATTAGCTGGTTTACGTAAAAATGCGGATTGATCATTGCACAGTTATTCCAGACGCCTCCCGGTGCTATTCGTATTGGAATTGTGTAATCACAGATTATGAACGGATGTTTTACACAACAACAAGGATATATTCCCATTGGGTTTTCATGTTTTATGGGAACTTTAGACATCATGATTTTTATACTGTACAAACTGTGTTATCCCCTAACTCTAATGTAACCGTTAAGGGTAGGTCATCTACGGACATCTAATGTTACGGACATATTTTATCATGGTACAGTTCAGTTATTGATTTTTTTTTTCCACTTCCCTTTTATCCAAAGAGACGGAACTATTTGCACTGTATTTATCAATGGGAAATACATCATGCTAAAGTAATCTGTCATATAGGTCTACTGTGGCTCACATTACTGGGGTCGCTTGCAAGTCGCAGCAGCACGAGTTACGTGACCAGCAATATCTCTGCTTCAAATATTGTGCGTAGTTAACAGTGAGTGGTGGTTTCAGACATTGTTTTATTAAAGTGCATTTATTAATACTCTTATTCTGCCCGACAGAAAGAAAAGCTTGTACTGAAGGCGGAGCGGTTTGACCAATCAGATGAAAGGGGCGTTTCAGCGCCGCCCACGTGTGCAAATGAAATATCGAACCCATAAACCGATTTGTAAACCACAAACGAAAAATCGAGCCAAAATCTAATTTTTCGTTTTTTAAACTAAACAAAAAAACGAATAAACGAGCTGGATTTCATTTCTCGTTATTCCATTCCAAACAGGAAATCAAATGACCAAAAGATACACGGACCATACACGGTGTTCTGACGATTTGTGCTGCCTTGTCGAAAAATGCTACCGTTGCGCGAATCGATCACAGAATGTCGATTCATATTAAATGAAATACAATTATAACACAATTCTAAGTTATGAGTAGCTACTGTATACTGTAAACTACTGTTTTTATTTTTAAAACGGTATGAAAAGTAAAAATTATCATCAAATATTCATCTTTGACTTGTTAAAGCACACCTTTCCTTAGTAACTGAAACTTGTTCAGCTGACTGACCGTACAAATATTCATATGGTAGTAGTTGGCATTTTTAAAAGGGGAATTACTTAAAACACATGAAAATTTACCTTTTGTTAAAAAAAAACTGAGTCTGCACATGCGCATAACCAGTAAGTAGCAAATCTCGATGGGTAGCATGAATCGTCAGAACAACGGACCTAAATGCTTACAACCAATTAGGGTGAGATTTTGTGAGACAACATTTCAGTTAAAAACACAATTCACCACAATAACGTTTTTTTTTCTTTTTTTTATGTTGCAGTTTTCTAAAATTTGCACTAGCCCTAGGCTAGTTTACTTAAAAGTATAGGCTATAGCCGTAGTTGAAATGTCTTTTTTTATTATATAATAGGCCTATTAATGAAATAAAATACAACTTGACTATCAATCAACTATCAAGGGATAGTTCACCCAAAAGTGAAGAATGTTGGTAACCAAACAGCTGATGGGCCACATTGACTTCCATAGTATAGAGACAAAAATACTATAGTAGGCTAGTCAATGGTGCCCATCACCATTGAAATATTAGGCAACATGTAATTTTATTGTAAATAAGATGCAAATAATTGTTTTAAAAAATGACATTCTGTTCACACTTAAGTATATTCTTTAAAGTATATTATTTGTGTTATAAGTACTCCTTTTAAAAATTATGCTAAGTACTGCGCTTTCACAAGAGAATAAACAATAAATGGACGATTTTAAAGAAAATTTGGCATTAAGTCGCCGTGTTGTGATATAAACTCCACCTCTAGGTGTCGCCAAAACTCTGGCTCTTTCACTCTTCTCTTCTCTGTTGTGACTGGAGGGAGTCCCCCAGTCCCGCTCACGTGCTGCATCGCTGTAGACATCAGACAGGCTGTAGATGTCCCGTCCCGTCCCGTCTGCAGCAGTCTGCCTCAGCACCTTGCCTGCCCGACATGCCCTTGGATATTACCGGCCCGTCTCTTGCTATAAACTACTGTAGAAATATAGAAACCACTAAACACTAACAGGACATCGGAGTAGGACGGAGTGTACCTGGATTTTTGACACTTTTACACTGCGACTGATCTAAAGGATTTTTAGTCGGTATATACTTTTTTGTTGTTGTACCGACTTTTCCCAAATCGACGTGTATGGATGTATCATGGCTACGTTTGCATGCAGGGTGCAGTTCTTAGATGATACTGATCCATTTAATAGCACAAATTTTCCGGAGCCGACCAGACCCCCACATTTCACATTCAGAGAGGATATTCCGCTCATCAATCAGATCGCTGGAGTTCACAGACTTCTGAAAGCACCACACAAGGTATGACATCCCGAAAGCAAACATCATTTTATTCAATCTATATACATGACATTCTATTTACTTTTTTATTAGAGGTATTTATAACTATTTTTGATGCAGTGGACTAATGTTATTGCAGTAATTCTGCAGGGCATCATGCAGTTATATGGCAAGCCTTTATAACATTTATTCCCCAAAACTTAAAACTAACAACATCTATATTTAAGCTACTAGTTATTTTTTTTAAATTAATAGAAAATATTTTAATGGTGACTATTATGTTAATCGTTCATTAGATAGCCTACTAGTAGCCTACTTATTCATTAGTTACTTGCAACTATACATTAGTATCTATTTATTAGACAATACATATACCAATTAGTATTCTAGTAAACTGGTATATTGCAATTATTAAGTGGCTATTCTGAGTATTAATTTGTAAACAACAATTGTAACTAGTTAGATAAGATATGTTACTAGTAGCAATTTAAGTAGATTCAAGTGTCTAATAAACAGATACTAAGTTATTAGTGTTAATAAATAAATACAAGTCTATTCAACAAGTACTTGGACTGCACACTAGTAACAGTAATACAATGCTAGTACTTAGTGAATAGTTAGTTAAACTGGTATTTAAAGTCTGAATTGAATAGTTGATATTTAAACCACAGATTACATTTAAAATTAATTGAAAAAAATAACAAATTGTTATCAAAACTAAAGGACAGTTACTTGTCACTACTGTAATAGTGACTAAAAGTACATGTTCTAATGACTAATTTAATCAGATAGTCACTGTTGGGTTACCAGTAGGCTACACTGTAATAAATTAAAACATGCAATTGTTACTTTAAAGAGCTCTTTTTTTGTTGCTATAAATTGATGTATTTTTGTTGATTCATTGATGTTAAATAATAATTTTGACTTGAATAAATATTAATTTAGTCAATTTAGCCTATGTTACCTTTTTTTTTTAATGTATAAACTATATACTATGTTAGAGTAAGAGATTTAATGTTAAAATGACTTGCCATATCATTTTGTGCTGTGCCAAGGCACTGCTAGGGAGAAGTGATATGATGTCAGGATACTTCAGTGCGTCTTGGTCCGCACTGCACCAAGGTGTTGTCCTGTGCACCCAGGGGGTTGTTTGTTGTTATCAGTGCTTCTAAAGCACATCTTTTCAGGCTGGAATAGTTAGTTATGCTGTTCTATTTAGATACAGTCAATAACAAATCTATTACAGCTGGCTGCATTGTTTATTTGCAATCATGAGTAATCAGTTTGCTGATGTCATAATAGGAACGACAGGTAGCTGGTGTTGATATCGTGGATATTCACATTCTGTCTCTTCTCACAGCCTGTAATAAACCTCACCTCTAAATTACCCAGCTCTCCTTCATTACACGCATGACCCAAAACAATCAAGGTTCTTCTCCAACTGTATAAGATATAATTGTTGTCTTAAACTTGGTTCATTTCCACCACATAAACAGTGTTATCCCTTTAGCAGGTTTTAGGAGTGCTGTTATTGTGGTCTTAGAGGAATGCACAGCAGCTGAGGGCCATACTTGGGTGGACTGAATGCTTGAGCATGCCATGTCCATATACTCAGGAATCTTCAGCTGTCATTGGCACTGTCAGTGATGACCCTTCAGATAAAAAGGGTCTTCGGTGGGGCCGAACCTTCCTGTTCGGTGTAGCTTTTCCTATTGTTGTTTGTATAGGAACATTACTGTTCTCTTGTGTACTCTGAGTTAGACTGTAGTTTCCAAAAAGGTGAATGTCAACCCTGTGTTGATGTGACTCACCCACTACCAGTCATCAATGGAACTTTTTAGAGCATCTCAGCTGCTTCATTATGAGTGGATTATTTCTGTGATTTTAAAAAGCACACAACTATAGAATTCTGAATGAGCATGTGAACGCCATCAGCGTTAATCACAGGTTCGCGTTTAAAGTCTGATCATTTCGACGGAGGTGAATCAATCAAAGTTAACTTTAGCTGGAAGTAACATTATTCAAGAACCGCTATAACGCCAAAACAATCTGTTACCTTAAATTATATGTTTATTCTCTGTAAAGCTGCTTTGAAACAATTCATTGTTAAAAGCGCTATATAAATGAAGATGACTTGACTTTGCCTATTTTTTTACCTTGAATGTCATTGCTCTAATTTATTTTTTATATTTTTCATATTTTGTTCAAATGGTTATTATAGCCTATCTGCTGTTCAAATGTTAATTTATTAGTGTGTTATGATTGGAATGTTGTCCCAGTTTTAAAATAAAGCACAGCAATGATATTTGAGAGTGTTTCTCCCTTTTCAGGAAAAGTATCGAAAAAGTATCGAAATCGCAATTCTTGACTTGGTATCGGTATCGAAACAATAATTTTGGTATCGTGACAACACTACTTCCACATTTACCAAAATACCGTTGTTCGGCAAATTTTCACGGGCAAAATCAAGTAATTTCAATAGGAATCCACACGATCCGGAACTTTGAGTGTGAGGGAAAGATTTCTCCTGGCAGATTTTGCAACATGTTCCAGTTGGTCATGTGGATTTGCTGTGGTGACCTAACAGAAAGTTCCTTGATTTTGAAATTGACCTGTGCTAAGCAAGTGCTTGATATATTGTGCTTCACCACACTGGTGGTGGTTGAGGAGGTTCCCCCTTCTATGTAAAGCACTTTGAGTGCCGAGAAAAGCGCTATATAAATGTAATGAATTATTATTATTATTATATATCTCTACACTCTTAACTATTGGATTTTGCCCATGGATGTGACCATGATTTCTTGTCTTGACCACATATGTGTGCAATTCAGACACTGACCATATTGTATTTTACAATGTCCATTATTAGGTCTCGCTCTCCAAATAAATAAATAAATAAAGTTTGTCAGTTTGAACATGATGTGTTCATGTCGCTAAAATTTAGCAATTATATTTTCATAATTTGTGTCAGAAGCACAGATCTAAACATGCATAATCAAAATTGGAGTTCATACCTGTATTTTGAAACAAAACATGCCCAATCGTGTAAGATCCAGTTCACTTCTGAAAGCACCAGATCTGAAGGATTGTTTTTCCTGTAAACGGCATCCATTGGAACTTTGAATGTAAAAGTGAGCACCATTTTTTTCAGTGCTTAGTGCTGTGTAGCCTACTGTTATGTTGGTTTCAGGTGTTTGCCATATATTTCATATATGTAGGCTATGACATGGCTGTTGGGGATGCCAGTGGTCCACAATGCACTAATTTAACAAGAATCTAAGACAGAAACAGTATTGTAATTAAAATGCAAACTCTGGTCCAAATTTGCTCACTAAGTTTTTCCAAAATAAGATCAATGTAGTTATGATTCATACATGTATATCTGGGTGTTTCCTTAATTATTATTTCTAAGTTGCTTCTATCCAGCAAGGGATGAATCCTCAGGGGATTTCTCTGGTGCATCAGAAGGTCCCAGGCCAGCACATTTTTCAACTTCCCTCCACTTAGGTTTGCTGCGATAGTCTGCGTTACCGGTGTTACACTGTGTTCAGCCACACACCAATTACATCACTTGCTCACCGCAACATTTCATGTATCACGTGACAAAAAGTGAGGCCAGCTGACTGACAAGACGATTTGGTTTCAAAGCGAAATGTAAAAGTGCCTATTAGGCAATATTTTGGATTTAAACCCAATGCTAACAGCCAGGGAACCTGCACATCCCTACCCTCCACACAATTTTCAGTTTAAAAGTGTTGTCAGCTTAGGGATATGATTTAAACTCTTATTGAAGAAACAGTTTGTTTTCCCAGATTTACTACAATTAAGCAGTCAGTATAAGGAACAACAGAGATCAAATAAAGCATCAGTGAAGTAGAGCCAGTGAGACAGAAAGTTAGAAACGGAGAGAGAGAGAGAGAGAGAGAGAGAGAGAGAGGGGAGGGGAGGGGGGAGGAAAGGAGATGTGATGTGCTGGCCTGCTATTTAACATCAGCCCGCAAATGAGCCAGTTGGATTCGTTCAGTTGAACACAGTCCATCTTTGTCTTGATTGTTTTTTTCATTTACAGCAAAGAGTATTTGTTTTATTACTTGTCCAGGGTGTCATACAAGGCTGTCGTAACTTATGTTGTTAATCAAAATGTGCATTAGTAGAGTATTTTAAAGTTATCAAACAATTCCATCAAGAATTTGGAACTTGGTTATAAAATGCCCTAGGACATATTTGTCTTCATACTTGAAGAAAATGAAGACTTATTATAATATTTACATGTAAGATATACAGACATGTTTTTAGCAGCATTATAAATTGTTTATTCAGGATGCAGTGAGAAACATGTACCATATGGTGTGACACCGTTGTTGATTTTGAATAGTTGGAGTCACTTTGTGGTGTAGATTTATTTTTTTGCCTAGTGTGCAGTGCAAAACAGGTGAAATGTTGTGTCAATGTGCCAACCAAATTATAGTGATATGGTTTGTGATGCCTTCTGAACTTAATGGATAGAATGTATTTTCAGATGGTTAAGTTATCTTGTTTCCAGATTGATTATTCCTTAAAGGACGTACTCCATTTGTAAAACATCTGATCCAAATGCTACTTTATTGCAGAAGATTAAAACATCCACCCAACTGATAAAGTAATATCACATTCTTGCACTTATTGTGAACAATTTATCACTGCATATTATTCCAAAAGGAACTTGCTTTTCATCTGAAACGACTTTGACTTTTTGCTGATGTCACTTAGGCTGGGCGGGCTATTGGATAATGTTAACCAACAGCCAAATATAGCTACTAAGGCATTATTTTGGGTGTTTAAAGTCCACTTTTCATGATCAAATCAATTCTTGACAGATAGCCTAAAATGAAGTCTCACCAATCATTTTTTTCTCATTGAAAATCCTAAAATTCTCTTTGCTTTTAAGATCATAATTTAAGGTACTTTTAATAGCCAGATTATTTAATTAGTAAATCGACATTTCTCCCTTTCTGTTTTATCTCTCTCACATACACACGCAC